GCCTGTGGCTCAAGGAGTAGGGTGCCGGCCCCATATGCCAGAGGTGGTGGGTTCAAACTCAGCCCTGCCCGCCCCCCAAAAATAGCAAAGTTAACATCCATGTGTCGAGAAGGAGGTGGCTGTACATGTACACTCAGAAGGCTGAGGTGGGAGCACGTGTCCCTAGGAGTTAAAATCCAGCCTGGGCAATACAGTGAGACCCCTGTGAAGTAAAATTTTAAAAACAAGTGAAGCCTTTCACAAGCACATTTTCAGGTCAATTTTTATTAGTGTCTATAAGAAATTTAGAATTCCATCTGACTAATATTTCCAGTGATCTCAAGAGTTATTAAAGTTCAAATAGAAAACATGATACTATAGTGATATCTTCAGGATAAAGGTGAGGGCAGAGGAAGACTGCTCCACTGCTGATATGTCCACACCATTAGCATCCTCACTTGCAGGGGTTCCTGGTACTCCCAACCTAAGTCATGAGAGGTCTGACCTGAGGTTTCTGCCACTGAGCAACAGCTCCTACAATTGTGGAATTGAATTCTGCTGGGTACTCAGGCCTTCCTTGGGGGGCAGGTGTCTCTGGGGACAGCCTGAGGTCACTTCCACAGCTCCCCCAATGGCCTCTGTGCGGCAGTACAGATGACATCCTCACACAGCGCAAGGAGCTCCATGTGGATGTCTTCAATGCTTCTGGAGGCATCAACTATCTGTTCTCACAGGGATTCAGGAGGAAAAGGCAGCCATTAACGCTTTCCCTTCTGTTCTCAGTGCACATGGGATTTCTCATGGGCCAGGCTCTGGGCAGGCAGCCCCAGACTTCCTCACACAGCAAAAACATCTCTGAGATCCTTCAGCCCACATCCCTCTCAACCTCCACAGTGGCCCTGACACACAGCTGCCCTGAATCCTTGCCATGGCCCAGACGCGGGAGAAACTGTGCACCAACCGCCCACTTCTCCTTGCATAGGCCTGATAAGTGTCCACCAGCAAGACAAGAGAGGTGGGAGGGACCCAGGAGCGGATCGCACCCCATGGCAAACTGGTGCTCAGGGACTGTCCCAGCTCACAGCGGGGAATCAGGCCCAGTGGGCAGCCCTTGCATCTGTCCTCCCATGACTCCCTAGAGGTGTCTAGACAGAACAGGCAGGTCCTACAGCAGAAGCTGCATGGCAAGACCATGCCACCTTTGGGCTAACTCCTGTCCTTTTGGGACAGATGCATCTTAACAGCCGTGCTGTACTCTCACGTGAACAACATGAGGATCATCGGCCCACAAGAACTATGTCTCCACCAGAGGGGAGGTGCAAAGGACCCAGGAGCACCGGCCTTCCCAGGGAGCTGCCTCTTCTGTCAGCTGGGCTGGTGGCCTCAGCACTGGCAGGGCTGGCTGAGGCCCTCCTCAAACCTACGGTGCAGCAAATTCAGGAAAACCTCCCAGGGTACAGAAGCACCACAAAGTAAACATATGCTTGTGAGAGTGACTTCCTATACAACTATCACCCCTTGCAGGTGTCACCTCCCAGCCACCATCCAAGATGGCTCTAGGTACTAGCTTACAGCCAAAGTGACCATGGCTTTCATGGAAAAGGATGCCATTATTTTGTATAACCAGCACTGTCTGTAGGCAGAACCCACTGGGGCTGGGGTGAGATCCCCAGCCCTGCTCTGGAGGAAGAGCTCACAGGACTAAGCTCTGTACAGGCAGCCACCCTCTGGACAGTGCAGACCAGGACCACCCTTGCTGGTATGTGGGGAAAGGCTGCAGTGGACACAAATGGCAAGTCGGGAGAGAAGGCAGCCAGCTTAGTAGTCAGGTAACCTGAGAGTAGTTGAAGCTAAGCCCTGGACTGCACTGGACTTAAAGGAAGCCAGACTGGGGGTACAGGGGGACCCAGGTGCACAAACTGTCCTGGGCACAGAGAGGGCTGGCCAAAACCAGTGATGGGAGCTGCAGGGTCAAGCTAGGGCTCATTATCTGTAAAAGGGCCGCACATGCAGAACTGCTCAAGCCCCTCACCCACCAGACAGCACCAGAGTCTGCAGAAGCCACCAGAGCATAAGAATATGCTGGAAGTGAGAAACTGAGGACCCACTATGGGAAAACCAGTCAGGAAAGGCAGCAGCACTGCTGGAGAGACCACTACAGTCAGTGCAAGCTGGACCCTGCTTGCTGGCTCCTGGGCTGTAGCTCCTCACCTTCCAGTTCAGCGTTGTGTCCGCCATGAGCTGGTGGAAACACTGAAGGGCCCGCTCCTGGAAGGGTCTGTCCTCGTAGCGCTCCTGGCCAAACTCACCCCGCACAGCAGCATCTGCCAGCTGCAGCTGCAGGAACAGGACCAGGTCAGGTTTGGGAAGGCCCACATCCGGCTGCTTGCACCAATCCAATGAAAAGTTCTGCAAAGAAAATGCCCAGCAGGGAGCAGAAGCTCAGTGGGGTCCAGTTTTTGTTTCAAGTCATGAAAATGACTTAGGGGGAGACACTAGGTGAGGTATCAAGAAATGAGAATTCCAGGTGGCGCCTATAACTCAAGTGGCTAAGGAACCAGGCACATACCCCAGAGCTGGAGGGTTCGAATCCAGCCCGGGCCTGCCAAACAATGACAACTACAACCAAAACAGACAGACATTGTGGCGAATGCCTGTGCTCACATCTACTTGGGAGGCTGAGGCACGAGAATCACTTTAGTCCAGGAGTTTGAGGTTGCTGAGCTGTGATGCTGCAGCACTCTACCCAGAACTATGGCTTGAGGCTCTGTCTCAAAAAAAAGAAAAGAAATGAAAAAGAAATGAGAGGGCGGTGCCTGTTTCTTAGTGGGTAGGGCGCCTGCCCCATATACTGAGGGTGGAGGGTTCAAACCTGGGCTTTGTGGCGGGTACCTGTGGCTCCAGCTACTCGGGAGGCTGAGGCAAGAGAACTGCCTAAGCCCAGGAGTTGGAGGTTGCTGTGAGCTGTGTGATGCCACGGCACTCTACTGAGGGCGATAAAGTGAGACTCTGCTTCTTTTTTTTTTTTTTTTTTGAGACAGAGCCTCAAGCTGTCCCCCGGGTACTGTGATGCCCGGAATACCGTGGCATCACAGCTCACAGCAACCTCCAACTCCTGGGCTCAAGCCAGTCTCTTGCCTCAGCCTCCCACGTAGCTGGGACTACCAGTGCCCGCCACAACGCCTGGCTATTTTTTGGTTGCAGCCGTCATTGTTGTTTTGGTGGGCCCAGGGTGGATTTGAACCCACCACCTTAGGTGTATGTGGCTGGCGCCTTAGCCACTTGAGCCACAGGCGCCGAGCTGAGACTCTGTTTCTTAAAAAAAAAATTAGAATTCCAGCTCAGTGCCTGTAGCACAGTGGTTATGGCATCAGCCACATACACATAGGCTGTCAGGTTCAAACCCAGCCTTGGCCAGCTAAGCAACAATGACAACTGCAACAGAAAAATTGGGCATTGTGGTGGGCACCTGTAGTCCCAGCCAATTGGGAGGCTGAGGCAAGAGAATCTCTTAAGCTCAAGAGTTGGAGGTTACTGTGAGCTGCGACACAACAGCACTTTACCGAGGGTAACACAGTGAGACTCTGTCTCAAAAAAATAAAAATGAGAATTCCTACACAGTAGTGGTTTTTTATTTTTTAAATCTGAAATGTACTGCTTTCCCCCTTCTTGGGTTTTTCTTTTGTTAACAAACACATCAGCAGACAGGAGCAGAGAGAACAGGGCAGGGTCCCACAAGCTGGTCACCCACAGCCCAGGACCTGCAGTGGATCTCCTGATGCAGCCCCAGACCCTCTCGCCAGAACTGAGCAATTGGCAGAGACTCCCACAGTCCACCTACTAAGAAACCCTGAGTTGTAGAGCAGAGCAGAAACCCTCACCATGTCCTTTTACTCATACCCACCAGGGTTTCAGCCCCCTTCAGAAGAGCAGGAAAGAGACTGGCAACCCTGGAACCCACTGTGTGTAACCCCCAACCCTGTGCCCACTAGGCAGCCCCACCAGACAGGGCTGTGTCAATCTCAGGGGACCTGCCCTCTTATCCACCAGCCCTCCAAACAGTATCCCCCTTTCTAGGGGAAAGGTACAGCCAGAAAGGCTGTGACTCAAGGCCACATGGCACAGGACACACTAAGAGTTCAAGAAGTGAGCTTCCCCCCTGGACTGCGCCAGAGAGGTGCAAGGACGCAAAGGACAAGCCCGCCAACCAACTTGCTTGTCAACCAAGTCTTGTCCTTACAAATTTAACACTTCACAAGGTAAGGACTCCAGCTTACACATAAAGAAATGACAACATTGAAAACTATCTGTGTGAACGTATCTTCCTCTGTACGCCTGTAAATCTACCATTCTCTTCCCCAATAAACTTTGTTTCATGCTTGCCTTTAAAAAATAAAACAAAAGGCTCGGCGCCTATAGCTCAACCGGCTAAGGCGCCAGCCATGTACACCTAAGGTGGCGGGTTC